CAGCGTCAACTCTGCCGCTTTCTTCTCATTAATTTTGAGGAAGGAATCCCTCAAAACAATCTCGGGTTCCTCCTCCTTATCCTTGCCGGCACCAGTGTCTTGCCGTTTCTTCATTCTTTCAGCCACGTGAGACACGCTAGATCTCTTGCGGCGTTGAACTACCGGCTCGTCGGGCACCTCCTGCCCCCCTTGAGAGATCTCCGTCTCAACCACAGATTCATCCACCGGCGTCATTATCTGCCGTAGTGGCTCTACTTCCAAAGGCGGGATGTCGGTAACTGCTGGCTCGCTCGCGATAGCCGGTGTCGGTTCTGCCCTGGTTGATGATGGTTCACCAACAGCACTCTGAGATCGGTTGGGATTCTTCTTCCATGCCTTGAGAAGATTCAGACGTCCAACCATCTCGGTTGATCGAAGATTCTTGTTCTTTCCGACTTTGTTTTTCAAATCCCAATTCGGATTGCGTCTCCGATGCTCCTCAGCTTCCGTGGGATCTCCGAAACCGAAGTATCCCAGCAATGGGTAATAGACTGTTACAGTAAGCTTAAAGTTAGGGCGATATCGACAAACACGAATGATGATATCCGATGAACGAAACAAGTAAAGAGGATTACCTGGTAAAAATGAAGAATTGAGTACTCCGGGGGACAATCCAGCTAACTCTAAGCGAGAATCCTTCACAAGTCGTTGATATCGGCGTTTGTTGGCGGACACTTCAAACAACTTGTCTACTCGATCGTACAGCAGACCTTCAAACTTCGGCTCTTTCTTCCCAGTCGGTTTTGCTACAAGGTCACAAAAGTCCACCTGTTAGCGACAACAAAAGACAAAATATTAATAACCGAAGTCAAAAAAAAAAATGAAAAAGCAACTTACAATAACCAGATTTAGTGGCCATTGGGATGCTTATCCCATCGGCAAGGAGATCATTAGCGAAGTCGGGGCACTGCCAGTCTCCCCCGACCCATAACCATTCCTCTTGGAATCCATGAAGAGTGTCCGGGACCTCCATTATTAGCTCGCCAACTTTAACCCTTGGCTGCGGCTTCCCGACAATTGAAAAGGTGAGAAGCGGGTCCGACACTTGTCTATCCGGACTCTTTCGGAATGTGAACATGCTTCTCATGTCCTTTGCCGACGGCAGATCCCATTTTTTCTCAGCCAAGAGCACTAACAACCCGATGATTCGTTTCCACGAATTTGGAGCAATTTGACATATCGGAAACTCCCAGTCCCGTAAGTATTCGGTGATTATGCGCGGCAAAGGGAACCGTAAG